TCACATTTAATTTTCAGTTCTTCTAGGAAATTATTGATATCTTCATTTTATTTGTGAAAATCCTAAGATTGGGAAATTTAGGATACATGGCTAGCAACATAGAATTGAGATATGACCCCACCTCATGTTTTTCTCCCATCAATTTGCCTATTACCATGAAGCTATTAAAATGGTGCATATATTATTTTACATTCTATTTTAAATTAACACTATGTGAAAGAACTATCAATTTAATGAGGCAATATAAAATTCTATTAGGTTTTTTTATCATTGGACATTTTAATCATATAATTTTGCTCCAAATATTTATGACCCTGAAATAAAGACATCTTCATGCATATCATATCATGCATATCTGCTGAAGATTTTCTAACATGTTAGAGAAATTGTTTCTTTTTTCTTTAAACAATTTTTGTTCAAGTAGATTTGACAAATAATAAACTATACATTTTAAATATATGACTTGGTAGAATTTGACATATAAGAGTATATGTTTATATCTATGACACTATTATTGTGACCAAGATAGTGAATATATCCACCACTCTCAAAGGTTTCCTCATGACCTTCCCACCTAACATCTAATTTATTTTCTGCCACTATTACTTAGCTTACACTTTCCAGAATTTTCTATAAAGTACTATATACATGTGTACTTTGTGCTCTTTTTTTGTCAGGTTTCTTTCACTCAGCATAATTACTCTGCGTATCATCCACATTGTGTCAATAACTCATTTGTTTTATTCCAGTGTATACACATCCCATAGGTTGCTTATTTATCCATAAATGGACTTTTGGGTTGTTTATAGTTTTGTCTATTATAAATTAAACTACTATGAATGTTCACATGTACTTTTTTTTTGTACTGGATATTAACCTGGTGGGGATTACCACTGAGCTATATCCACAACTCCCTTCCCACCTTTTAAAACTTTTTATTTTGAAACAAGTTCTCACTAAGTTTCTGAGACTGGCCTCAAAGTTGTGATCTTCCTGCCTCAGCCTCCTGAATCTCTGGAATTATATATGTACTACAATGCCCTGCTCATGTGTTAAGTCTTTGAATAGAAATTAGGCTTTCTTTTTTCTTAGTTAAGAGATGCAATGGCTAGATAATATGGAAGGTATATGTTTAACTCTTTAAGAAACCACTGAATCATTTTTCAAAGTGGTTGTGCCATTTTATCATTCCACCAGCAGTGCACTATGGTTCCAGTTTCTCCACACCCCCACCAACAGCTGGAATAGTACATCTTTTTCATTTTAGCCATCTATTAGGTAAATAGTACTATCTCATTGTGAGCTAAATTTATATTTTCCTAATGACCAATGATTTCTACATATTCTTGTGTTTTTATTTGTGATCCATATATCTTTGTGTGTGTGTGTGTGTGTAAGAAATAACGGTTAAAATCTTCTCCCCATTTAAAAAATCCCATTTTGAGTTTCAAGGTTTTAAAAAATATAATCTAGATACCATTCCTTTATCAAATGTATGCATAGTAAACTTTCTCTCCCAATCTGTGACTTGTCCTTTCATTCTCTTAACAATAACTTGGTCAAGATGTATTATCCATTTGTATATCTTGCTTTGTTTGAAATGGTCAAATTTTGTTTACAATTTTTTCCATAAATATTCATGAGGAACTAAAGTTTTCTTTTCTGCTAATATCTTTGTATAGTTTAGTTTTAGAGTAATGTTGGCATGTAATGTGGAAAGTAGTTCTTCCTTTTCAATCCTCTGAATGAGTGTTTTGTAGAACTGTCAATATTTCTTCCTTAAATATTTGTAGAATTCTGTAGTGAAGCTAGCTGAGACTGGAGTTTTCTTTGTGAGAAAGTTTTAAACTACAAATTCAGTTTTTTTAGTTATACAACTTTTTAAAGTTATTTATTTATTTATTTATTTTTGAGCTTCTGTTGTTTGTGTTTTCAAAGAACTTACTCATTTCATTTAGGTGTTGAATTTACTTGTGTTATGCTGTTTATGATATCCCCTTACTGTCCTTTAAACTATAGAATCTACAATAATGCAGATTGTTAGAAATCCATGTCTTTCTTTGTCCAACTCAGTCTGGAGATTCACACACACACACACACACACACATTATATACATATAAATTCTCAATGAGTCAGCTTTTGATTTCATTTGCCTTCTCTCTTGTTTTTCAGTTTGCCATTTCATTTGATTTTTGTCCTGATCTTTATATTTCTGCTTTATTTCCGTTTTTCTTAAAGGGCAAGTGAGGTTATTCCTTTCTAATAAAAGCATTTAGTGCTATAAAATTTCCCTTAAGTATTGCCTTAATGGCATCCCACAAACTTTGATATGTTGTTTTCATTTTTATTCTGATAATCCTTCTTAATTTCCTCTTTGATTTCTTTTTTAACCTCTGTGTTAAAGAAGAATATAATTTAGTGTCTAATCACTTGGGGATCTTTCAGAAATATTTGTTATTGCTTTCTAATTTGATTCCACTATGGTCCGAGAACACATTTTGTATGACTTGAATCCTTTTAAACTTACTAAGACTTGTTTAATGTCCTACCATATGTTCTGTTCCGGTAAATGTGTCGTGTACCCTGGAAAAGAAGATACATTCTGCTGTTGTTGGGTAAAGTGTTCTATATATTTCATTCGTGTTACTTTGGTTAATAGTGCCCACACTTCTATATCCTTCTGATTTTCTAGCTATTTATTCCAACAGATACTGAAAAAGGGGTATTAACTTTTCTGACTATGAGTATAGATTGATCTATTTCTCTTTTCCATTCTACCAGCTTTTCTCCATATATTTTTAAGCTTTGTTATTAGATGCATATATGTTTTGGATAATTAGATTTTCTTAATGTATTGATGACATTCTAAAGTGCCTTTATTTATTCTTGGCAATGTTCATTCATCTAAAATCTACTCTAATATTACTATAGCTGCTTAAATTTTAACTAGGTTTAAGGTGGCATATCTTTTTTTTTTTTTTGGTGAATATTCTATAGAATGGCTTCATCGTGGCACATTTGTGCATACATAAAAATATAATTTGTTCAGTTTCACTGTCTAGTTCCCTCCCCTCTTCCCTTCCCAGATTGTCTTCCTCTACCATACTGGTCTCCCTTCTAATTCCTCCTTTCTTTTACTTTAAATGTGTTGCGTATTTACATTTAAAGTATATTTCTTATGGACAGCATATAGTTGAGTGTGAACATTTTTTTTCCTTGTCAGGTAAGTTGAGATTGATTGCTTTTGGAAAGGAAAAATACAGATGGAGATAGAAGCAAAAGGTGAATTCATACATCATTGCTTGGAAAAAGTGTTGCAGGTTACCATGAGGCCTTTAATGGAAGTGTTGGTTGATTTTTGTTCCTTTCTGTCTTAAGATAAACTGAACTTTATTGCCTAGCAGAGTATAAGGCCTATAAAACTGCTCAAAATGAACAGTTATAAGTGTATGTTATGAGGATAGTATATTCATTTCCTGCATGATCCTGCTCTAAAGGCTTGTAAAGTTAATTTTAAGAAATCATGGTGTTCTGTATATTACAGACATCCAGACACTCTCTGCCATTAGTAACATTTCTTTTCCATGATTGATGGGGAGAAAGAAGAGGGAGATCAATAAAGCAGTGCTGTAAATTTAAAAATATGTCAAATCAGCATTCCCTTCTCCTTAACCAACACACACACACACACACACACACATAAAATAAACAAAAATATGGGTGATACATAGGGAAAAAATTGCAAAACATATCTTGGATGAGTCAGATAAACACACAACAAATACATCATCCCATTTGTAGTTTTTGAAATAAATTTTATTTGGTGATTTTTAACAGTATGTTTTATTGAGATACACTGCGTAACACAAAATAAACCAATTTAAAGTGTTCACTTTAATGGCTTTTAGTATATTTACTATGTTATCCAACTATCATCATCACCTAACTCCACATTCTCAAAAAGAAACCCTGTACCTATTAATAGTTTGTCCCAGTTCCCCAATTCTTCCACTAATCTATTTCATCTTCATAGATTTGCCTATTCTGGACATTTGATATAAATGGATTCATATATTATATGGTTTGGGGTCTACTTTCACTTACAATAGTGTTTTCAAGTATAAGGTAAATATTATCATACTTATCATTTAAAGGTGTTTTACTGAAATATAATAAAGCCATCTGCTAAGGATAGGATACTATGTGGAACAGGGGAAGAGATGCAGCCTAGCATTAGGAAGACCTTGGTTGTAAGTACTGATTTCTTCTGAGGATCTCAGTCTTCTCATCTCTAGATGAGATGATGCCATAGATCTCTCCCTTTAATTTCTGTTGCCCCAGAAATCTCTAAGGTACAGAGATACATACTGCTTGTCATTTCACCCCCCCCCCCAAAAAAAAAAGTGTTACAAAATCAATTAACTACATCTGAATCCCTCATATCCTAACAATCCTGGAGACAGGAAATTTGGGACAACTGCTATCAATAACACTTTGACCTGATTATAAACTCAGGAAGTTAGCACCAGTTCCTTAATCAGGAGAGAAATATCACAAAAGTCACCCTAAGCTGATGTATCTGAGTATGCTTCCCTCCGATTCTAAAAAGTGATAATGTAATCAATGATTTTCACTGTGAGTTTCTCCCTGATAAAAAGCTTAAGGCTTAAAAAAAAAAAAAAGCTATTAGAAATTTGCATATAATTGCCAAGCTTTTATGCTTTCGTTTTCCTATCCCATTCACTACCATATCTTTATATAGAACAATGCCAGTTGCAGAGTTGACGCTTATTGAATATTTGTTGAATGAATGATAGGTATATGGACGAATGGAAGTCATATAACTAGAAGCTGCTCTAAACAGTAAACACAAGAGACATACTAAGCTTTCTACCCATTCCTTCTTATAATAGACAGACTCATTGAGATTAAAAAAAAAAAAAAAACCCCACATGCCCCTGGGAAAAATATAAAATGTCAAAACTAAAGGAACAATACCTGAGAACTAGAAATAAATTTATTTTTTAAAATGTTGATACAATACTAGATAGAGTACATTTAATATGCAGCTTTGTTGTAGAAATCAACACCAATTTATGGCTTAAAATTACACAGAACCATAGTGTTAATTAAAATAGGTACATAGCTTTTGGGCTGTATTAAAAATAAACAAAAACAGAAATGCAAACAAATGTCACCTGGTTTATTTTTACCACTCCTTGGAAAGAGAGGAAATGATTATCATATGCCTTTAAAATTTATTTTTAGCAAATTATATGTTATGTATTAAAGATCCATATCAACAAGATTCTGGAAAGTTACACACTGCTGTGCTGTGTTAATGCCCTTGGATACAGGGGAACTTTCCCAGAGTCAGTGTTCAGGTGTGGGGAAGAGAGCTGGTAACATTCAGGTCCTCCTTCTTGCCATTCTTTTTCCTAGATATCATCATCACCACCCTTTCCTACATGAGCCTTCTGCCCAGCCACTCTCTTTCTCTTCTATAACCCATTCCTCCACTCTAATATGTCTAGTTGTTATAAAAATCAAACCATTCTCCTCTATGATAACATTTGCAATTACAGTTGTGTCATTGTCAATGCAGAAAAGAGTAATAAATTTATCATGCCAACCAGTTTCCACACAGTTGATATAGTTCTAGACTTCCAGTTTTAAATAAGTTTATATATTTTTAGATTTCTGGTAGGAAGTAATAGCCCTTAAATTCCTTATTCTCGGAACTTTTACTTTTTCCCTAGGATTTAACCTTTCTGTTTTTTCCCAGGAATCCCACCTTTCCACTCTGCAGAGGGCAGTGAATCACAAGGAATTGGCTAGAGCTGGTATGGAGGATGGGTTTGGCATATTTGGGTTAAACACCAGAGGATGCTTATGTCCTGTGCATATAGGAATCAGCCATCTAATGTAAGGAGCTCCCTTCCCTTACTCTGAAATCACATGGAGATTTAAGTAAGAGACCGAACATCTGAGTCTTATCATAACCTCTCTATGTAAAATTTTCCATTAGTCAAGACTTTGATAAATGAACAGAAATAAAACAAATCTGTCATGTTTTCATATCCAGAAACTGGAATAACTTTCTTAAACCATTTTTAGTGTCTACAACACTCAAGTTATTATCATAGAAAAGCACTCTAGTCTTTCATAATCCATTTTAATTCTGAAGTTACACTGGTGCTCAGATAGCAAGTTACATTTGGCACAACCATATTTTTCAGTGATTGTGCAAACAAAAATTTTAATAAACATTTCACAAATAAAGTTCTAATTTCTCTATAATTAAGCATTGATTTCAGAAGGGAGTTTTGTGAAGGTTACAACGTGTTCATTGCTATGAAAATGTTTCACTCAGCTGAGTTTATAAATTAATAAGGTACTTTTCCATTAGAGAGTCTAGTTAACACAGCATTTCTAAAAATATTAAAGATTTAAGGGCTAAAATTGCATCGAAATCTTTTCTGAGAATATAAGCTTTCAAAGGCTCTGTTTTCAATATTACTTTTCTTTGTTTGTCAGCATAGTTCATGGGAACACTTCTGAGGAAGCATTATTTTTCTTCCAAATGTCAACCATCATTCATAGATACTCCTTATTCCAAATGTCCTTGAAAAACACTAGTTGGTACAATAAACACCAACAAAGATGAAGAGATTATGTTACTGCAAATTTCATATGACTCTGGAAGCCTGGGGAAACCCAATCTTTAGCTTTGGAATGGCACAATGCCAACATTCATGCTGGAAAAGGAGTTTGTTGAGTAGCGATGGGTAGGTCTCTAAAGTACAGATAGCTCCCTGAATTCTCACCTGAACTATACCTTTGAAGTTGAACCTCCATCTGCAAGATTCTTCCAACTAAAAGAGAATTTTTTTACATCCACAGTTTCTAATTTTAGGTTTCACACTGAAAGGTCCCTAAAGGGATAAACCCACCCTTTGCAATTCAATGTTGGCTTAATGAATGGGTAGTCCCTCCGACTGAAGTGCTAGGAGCACCTGTCATGGAGGCTGCAGAATAGATTCACTTGAGATAATGAGGATAAAAATATCTAAGGACCATGAACATTGGCACTGCTTAAGAAATGGAGTAGGGTGAGGGAGCTGGTCTTCTGGAATAAGCAAATCTTACACCTCATAATACTGCAGGCATTTATTTTGAAAGGTACTGAAATACAAAAATTGTATTTCATCCTGTAAGAAGTATTCATTTATCAATCTTCCTGAAATACTAACCTAGGTACTATATTTTTACTGGATAGAATCACAAAGATGTACACACTCAGTCAAGACAATTTGTCTCTATTGAGCAATCTTCAGAAATCCTGTAAATAAATAGATGAGAAATCTCTCGTGGCTTCTGTAGAGCAAGTTACATTTAGAGTTTCCTGGAGCACATGAAATTTTGAGGTTTGCCCTTCATACAGTTCTTTGTTTGCCATTTACCTCCTCTTTGGACCAAAACACAGTTCTTTCCAGGCTTTGAGTGTTGAGGGGGCTCTCTCCTCCAGTTGGTGAAGGTGACAGGTTCACCTCCAATCCATTCCCAGTGGCCAGTGTGCGCTTGGTCATTCAAACCTAATGTGAGCCAAAAGAATGTGCCAAACAATTTTATTACATTTACACTTAGATAGACTATCTAGTCTATTGTTCTAACCACAGTTATGACATGCCAATGTGGGTCCAGGTTCTAAAACAAAGAATAGAAACTGGGAATACTATAAGACACAATAGTATAAGACTTTGGAATCAGACAAATTTGAGTCCAAATTCTAACTCCACCAGTTGCTAGCTAAGCCCCTTTGGGCAGGTTACTTATGCTCGCTGAGTTTCCTTTTTGTCGTCTAAGGAATGGGTATGAAAATACATGTACATGTTTGAAGGATTAAATAAAATAATGTATATAGAACTCTCCACATATGTGTTTAATAAACATCAGCCAGTATTAGTATATGTATCATTCTACACATAGAACTCTTATCACAGGGCTATAGGTATTTTCTTGTTCCTTGTTCTTCTACATTACTTAAATGTCTTGGTTTTCATATTTGAAAGTAGTTTATGAAGTATTATTTTTAGTCTGGAGCTTAAGATGTTTCAATCTGCTACAATTCCAATAAAAAAAATGGTTTTCTCTTCTTGCCTCTCTATTCCTACTGGCAATTGGTGCAAATTGCATTCTAATGTTGTACAGCTTCTATAATATTTTCTTAAAGAAATATTCTTCCCCCTCACTCTCATTCATAATAGAAATAACAAAAGGAAAAAAAAGGAAGGAATCCATTTTAATAGCATGATCTAACATTTTCCAACTCAAATTTGACCCTGACAACAGTCCCAGTTACAGAGCATGTAATCTTTCCCAACTGATTTTCAACCAATATTTTTGGGTGAAATCAACTGAAATGTTTTTTGTTTAGAAATACCCTATGTTCATGTAGATTGCTTCCTTGAGTTAATGATCAGATAATAATACTATGCCTAAGTACTTTGTGAGAACAAAGTCTTAAACAGCATGGTTAAGGATGTAGATAAAACTTATGTTGCAACCCAACTCTTAATACTCTCAATTTCATATCTGAATTTAAAGACCTACTAAGTATTACAGAAATTTTGAGACACCAAGACTGGATTTACCATAATTCCCTTAAATATAGTGCCTCTAAGGAGCAGTTTAGAATACTGACTTTGATGTGCCCTGAGAATTCTATTTCCAAAAGTAGCTTATAAAGACTTGTTATTATTGTCAAAATTGTAGAAAATAGGGCTGGGGGTGTGACTCAGTGGCAGAGCGATTGACTAGCATGTGTGAGGCACTGGGTTCGATTCTCAGAACCACATATAAACAAATGAATAAAATAAAGATCCATCAGAAACTTTAAAAAATAATTGTAGAAAACATTTTAAAAACTTCAGAAACCAAGGAATAAAAGTAAAAGCATCTATAGTTCTTGAGTAGAGGTAAATCATTTCAAATTCTTTAGCATATATTTCTCTATATTTATATATATATACCTTATGCATATGAATTTCTTTTTTATTATAAATTATTAATTCTTATGGCTGTGGACTTTGACTTTTTTACTTACCACCTTGTCACAAATGCAAAGCATTACATATTTTACATATAATATGTAACCAACATATTTTTGTTGAATCAATTAATAAACAAGCATAGGCATTTTGTCATGCCTTTAATAGTTAAAACCTTAAAAAAGCATTAAATATATTTTATTTCAAAATTAAGTAAGTGTGCTTTCACATGACCATATTATAATTTATCCATTCCCTATTTACAAATAATTTTAATTTTTAAAGTTTAGAAATGTCATTGCATTATATTCTCCTAGCTATCAATCTGACCACATCCCTAATTATTTCTTGGAACAGATGTCTGAAAATGAAGTATTGTGTCAAAAGGCTTAAGACAAGGTTTAGTTTTTGGTGCTAGGAACTGCTAATTTCAAAAGACAGATGATTAGACTAATCATCTAATCATTGCCCTTTATTGCAAACTACAATTACTTGGTTGCTAAAAGGGAGCAGGAGGTGTTGGTACCTATTCTCTTTGTGTTCTGCCTCCCTCCTCAGCATAACAGATACTTGCCTATCCAAAAGGGCTTTCTTCCACTGATGTCCCAGAGCCACTGCATGTGCTGCCTGGAGAATACAGTTACGAGATTTCCCAGGTGTCTATACACAAATGAAAATAAGAATGTCAGCAACAGGTAATTGACATTTTTGCTCATACAAAATGCATAACATAATAAAAAAATAAGTTTAAAACATCAAAAAAAAAAAAGGTGTTATATGTAGAAAGGATTTTTCCAAGACTTTAATACTCTATTTTTTCTTTCATGAGTGTCTGCAGGGTAGGGATAGTTGACAACAGGGAAAGGGTTCTTATAGTACCTGCACTTTAAAAAGCACAGTTCAATGAGTTTCACGCATCTTTTCGTAAAATTACCAACTGCTTATTATAAAAATTAATTACTTAATGAAAAAATACTTTAACTCTTTTAAGAGATTTTTTCTGTTATAAATTTAGCAATTATCCAGTTAATTTGATCAGTAAGGTGAGTCAATTATTCAGACAAAATGACTTAAGATATAAATTTTGAGTTTAGTGTGTTTAGTCAAATTACCCAATAATTATAACCATTTCATTATACTCAGTGAAATATGTATATCCCATTATCAAAACTTCATGTATTTTGTAGAAGTTAAAGCATCTGTTCTTGTAAGCACATATAAAAAATTTCCCACAAAACAGAATTCTCTCTGAATTATTTTTGCAAACAGTTGAATTATACGTATAAGGAATATTTGATTGTGCCTAACTACCCTGCAGTTCTTATAAAAGCTCTTTTAAGATGCTTTACTATAAAGACAATAGATTACATCTTTTCTTTAAAAAAAGTTTTATAATACAAATCCACAATGTATACATGTATCATAACATTACATTGTGCCCCATAAATATACATGATAATTTGTCAATTAAAATTAAAAGGAATAAGCTTTTTTAAAATGTTTAAAAACTTGAAAATTCAAACAAAAAATCTTCATGATTTCTGGCCTGGTCAGTATCCACTGACATGAAAATAAGTAGGAAACAAAATTAGCAATATTTATATAGGGTTAGATGACGATTGAACTAAATTTTATACATTTTTGCAATGTTTTTCCAAAGTTCAGATTTATTTCTCTGGTTTTGCCACATACATTAAACATAATTTGTCTGTTTCTTATTGATTTTTCCTCATTACTATCAGTGCTTTGCTGCTCTATAATGCAATGTTGCCTTCCTGGTCCCTGAAATATGTAAGACTCTTTGCCCTTCCACCACATGACTTCAGGTACTGAATTTGGGTTTTATGACTTGGTTCTGATCTCATTATTTACCATCAGCTCCTGTCTGACAGTTACAGCAGGTAGGATGGGGCAGCTTTCCTCCCCTTTTCCTCACATCCAATATGATCATGTGCTGTGGGCTTAGAACACAGAATATCAAACTCATATTCAGTGTAGGCCAAGGGAGGGCTTGAGTGGCTGCCTCAGCCCGTATTGTGCAGTGGACAGAGCAAGGGACATGAGGGCTCCACTTCCTTCTCTACCCCTTCAGTCCTTACTGAACTCCCTGATTTTCTTACTGAACTAATTTCCTTATTTCACCAACCTCACACCCTCAACTTCATCATCAGGAAGTAATGGATTTATTCAAGTATATTCATCTTTTCTCTAGCTTGAAGATACCTGAAACTATCTTTAAAACAGACTTTGTAAGTTATGTTTTAGTTGCTTAAATACAATTTCAGTTTTCTATCTGATTCTTCAAAAAGCAGGACATCCCAAAAAAAGAACCAGATAGGAAAATAGCTTTACTTCAGATTGGTCAAGTGCTGGAATGTAGTTATATACAAAAGAAATATTTGTGTATTTACATGTTGATTATTTTATTAAAATACCATTACTTTCACTTTTGCTCATATACCCATAAAATATTGTAAATATTGTCTTATAGAAATGTGCATTGTAGATATAAAAGTGAAATATATAGCCACACATACACAAATAAAAATCCTTTGGCACCTCTGAAATTTGAAGGCATTTAAAGTACAAAATTAAAAACAACACCTAATTTTTCTGGTTGTAGAAATAAACATCTTATTGTACACACATACAAATATATAACAACAAATCCCATCAATATGTAAGACCATAATGCACCAATAAATGTGGAAAATGAAAGAAAGAGAGAGAGAGAGAGAGAGAGAGAGAGAGAGAGAGAGAGAGAGGAAGGAAGGAAGGAAGGAAGGAAGGAAGGAAGGAAGGAAGGAAGGAAGGAAGGAAGGAAGAAACATCTATTTCTTCTAAAGTTTTTGATTAAGTATCAGTATATTTCAGGGAGATTCTTTAAGAATCAGCCAGCAGGGGTTCCAGACTCTCCTGTGGGAAGACAAAATGGCTTCATAGATAATGATCTATAATAATAGAATTACCAATGTACAGTGACTGCCTTAGGAAATGAGCAGATGAGATTACAATATGTAAATTCAAGAAATGCCTAATCCAGGAGTCTGGCTCCTTTGGGTTATAAAAATAATAAAATACCAATGGAGAGGAAAAGAGATTGGAGATAAAGATTGAGTTGAGCTAGTAATCTGATTAGGAACAAGGGATGAAGTAAAATGTGCTGTTCTTATTGAAACAGGGGCATTATAAATGACTCTCTGTAAAAGATCTTCCAGAACATATACTAGTGAGGGAGCCCCAGAACAGAATCAAATAGTGGCCCCTAGGACTACAGCATACTACATGCATACTAATCCTAATTACAGAACCTAAAACCATCTTCTAAAATACATAATAAGAATGTAAGTCTCCAGGTTATAACATGTTAAACTGTGACTTTGACCCAAAAGGAACTGACAATTCCAGAGGAGTACCCACTTTTAAGCCAACAGAGTAAATACAATGAACCAGGAAAGTAATGAATGTGGGAAGAAAGAATGCCCAAAGGATGAACAAAAATATGCTGAAAGGGAGGAGGGGACTTTGGGGCTCAGTAAAAACTTATACTGAGGAGGTGGCCTTACCACCCAAAAATGTTGTTCCTGGAATAATTGATCCAAGGGAATATGATTATCTTTTATTTTTATTTACTTTTAATCTGCTAGTAGACAATTTTTGAAATATCTGTAACTAGTACATATAAGTGTAGTCACTCTTTTTGTCCTTCTGAAATGAAATGCATGTTGAAGCATCATGCAAATGCAATCAAAGGAAAGGTTTATATTTATATCCACTCAATTTTTACATCCATTCTTTCAATTGAAAGTATAAGATTAGAAGTTTTAAGTGATGCTTTAAAAATACTACACCATGTGTATTTTCTTTACTTCCCTTACATACCCTGGAATATCATCAGGAATGGTATTTGAGAGATATTTTAGTTTCTGAATCAATATGGGGTTTACATAATATATAATTTGAAAAAGTTTATTTTACTGATAATGAGTTGTTTTTCTAAACTATGGTGGAAAAGCTCCAGTTGTCCTTAAATTTTTTCTCTTGTTCTGAGATTTTTCTCAGTTTTATATCTAAAAAGAAGTCACAGTTTAAAATGATTCCCTGAGACTAGAGTTTATCAAAATAATTCCAAAATAATTTGAGTAATAGTAGTTCTGAATCTGCTTATAAAAATACTGTTTGATGTGCTTGCTATGATCACTCAGATAGATTAGCAGGGGAGGTGGGAATTCTTTAGCTATTATCATGGATTTTATAATGGATTATTCCAGAGCAAAATATTTTTCCACTTACAGTATTTCTAAATCTCATTTATTTTCTAAGGTATGTAATCAATATATATTGCTTGCAGCTCATATTATTGTATTTAGGTCCAGGGAGCTTCTTAATTGGACCTATAGTAAGACTTCAGGTCAATAAATACTAAATACTGTTTTTAAATTCAGTATTTTTCATATTCTTCACAGGGAAGGGAATGTAGTAAGGAATGATCAGGATTATATGACATTAATGATGTAAAATGTAGTATTTTTGGACTTGCCACAGAGGACAGGTGGATCTGGAGAGTTACTGTGTCTATTTCTTTGATGAATAAGGAATTATTTAGTTATTGGACTGTGGGGCCATTACAAAAGAATAGTACTTTAAAAAATATGGTCTGGGGCTGGGGTCATAGCTCAGCAGTACAGTGCTTGCCTTGTACATGTGAGGCACTAGGTTCAATCCTCAGCACTACATAAAGTAAAGAAATAAAATAAATAAAATAGGGGCTGTGGCTCAGTGGTAGGGCACTTGTCTGGCACGTGTGAGGAGGCACTGGGTTTGAGTCTCAGCACCACATATAAATAAATAAAATAAAGGTTTGTCAACAACTAAAAAAAATAGCAAATAAATAAAGATATTGTATCCATCTTAAAAAAATCTTTAAAAAAATAGGTCTAAAAAAATATATGGTCTGGTGCTAAAGGTTTAGCTCAGTGTCAGATCACTTGCCTAGCATGTATGAGGCTCTGGATTCTGTTTCCAGCACTTCAAAAAACAACCAACCAACTCAACCCCATCAAAGTATGGCCTGATCTAGCCATTTCCGGTTCAATAAATGCCCAATAAACATCTGTTGAATGAATGAATCTATAAACTCAGAACTTGATTTTACCTTAGGTTTGCCCTGAAAGGTTAGCTTGATTTAAGTCCAAAGAAAATTTGGAAATCATAATTTAATAAAAATCTTAATATTTCTTTGCTGTGAGCGATACAAAAGTTCTAGCACATAATTTTGAAAACCAACTTTTGGTTAACCCAACACAAAGTTAAAATAGATGTGCTTGTCAATACACCTGTGATAAGAAATCCCCTGTACTGATGGAGCTAATTGGAGATTATAATGGAAAAGTAAGTCCTATCTCTTTCATTTACTTACTTAGATGACCATAAGTGAATGTTTTTCCTTCCTTAAAACTTTTTTATTTTAATCTGTAAACTGTAGCTAATAATACCTGCTTTCCTCACAAAAGTGATGGGAAGATAAAATAAGCTAATACAGGTGAAAGAATTCTGTAAACTATAAAGCATGACATAAAAGTAAGGCGTTATTGGCAAGAAGGCACATAGAACTGGGTCAGGCTAGTGTAGGTCATGGGTGACAATGCTTAAAACCAAGTTGCAGATGAAATCTTGGGTCAAGTATGTGAGGAAGTAGGAAGGCTTTTAAATTAATTTGGGCCTTAAGTTTATTATTGGTAAGATTGAATTGTACAATATTAATGGATCTGTGAAGAAACTCTGTAATTACTGTTGCTACTCACCATTAAAAGCTAGCTGCAATTAAACTGACTGATGATAATAATTTTAGGGTTATCAACAAGAAGTTATCAACAATTTTACTGTCAGGTGCCAATATTTTATAAAAATGATTTTTAAAACCAAAAAGCTAGAAGATCATCATCTCAGAATAAAGAATAGGGCTGGGGATGTGGCTCAAGCGGTAGCACGCTCGCCTGGCATGCGTGTGACCTGGGTTCGATCCTCAGCACCACATACACACAAAGATGTTGTGTCCGCTGAAAACTAAAAAATAAATATTAAAAATTCTCTCTCTCTTTAAAAAAAAAGAATAAAAAATAGTCTTTCTAATTAAAGATAATTGGCAACCATACATTAACACCTATGAATGGGTGGGAAGACATTTCTCAACACATGCTGTCCTTATTTTCTCACAATATTAAGATCCAATAAAAGCTTCCCTGGAGATCATTGGTTACCAGCACTGTCCTTTGAGAACCATTGGAAGATGACCAATAAAGTGTCCTCCAAACTCAAAGTTGGCAGGGTTGGGAGTGAGGGGGAGTCCTGTCCATCTACATTTTTTTAAAATATTTTTTTAGTTGTTGATGAAACCTTTATTTTATTCATTTATTTATATGCAGTGCTGAGAATCAAACCCAGTGCCTCTCACATGTAAGGCAAGCATTCTACCACTGAGCCGCAACTCCAGCCCTGTCTATCTACATTTTACTAGAAAATCCTTGCAATGACATAATCTTGATAACCTTGGCTGAAGTACAGTTACATTTGCCTTCATTTCCTCAATAAAGAAAACTGTAATTCTCCCTTCGGCAGCTTTTTGCAATCTTCTCCTTATCCATCCATGGAACAATTATCCAGAATAAGACATAGAACCTTCCATCACTCTAGAATATTACTTGGTGCTCAACTCACAATTCCTGCCAGCGATGATCATTTGTTAATAGCAAGATTAATTAGATTTTCCTATTCAAATAAATGGAAACATACAACATGTATTTTGCTGCACAAGGCTGTATTCTCTATATATGGTTTTTGATTTATCAACAATTCAACCACATTGTTAGAAGTTACAGCACTTCATTGCATTTAATTGCTTAAAGAAATTATAGAAAAATTTATTCTCTTGTCAATGAAGAAAATATCAAGCACTTCTACAAATCAATATCAAGAAGACAAATGGCCCAATTATTATTACTATGAATAATTATTATGAAATCCTTTCATATTTCTTAGCATATGTTTTTATTTCTCTTGTTTTAATACCTAGGAGTAGAATTGCCAGGTATAGGGTACATAGCTTTGTAAAAAACTTCCAGACATTTCTACAAAGTAGTTGCACCACTGTATACTTCCATCAACAATACATGAGAAATATTTGCTCTGTGTTCTCGTTAGTACTTGATGTTGTCATCTTTATGATTTGACCTTTTTAGCAAGTATGAAATGATATTTCACTGTGGTTTGAATTTTCATTTATAGATATCTAGTGGCACTGAGGACCTTTTAATTTACTTATAAACCATCTTCCAGTTTCTAGTTCAGTCTCTAAGTCATGTGTGAGGCCCTTGTCTTAACGGTGTCTTTGGATAAGCATAACTTTTAAAATTTGGTGAAGAATAAGATCTGATCAATATTAACCAGATATCCCTCTAGTCTCAATTTCCAGCTGTAGAGCACATTAGGTTAATTGCATTGATTGGATAATATCTAGGTTGGCAAGTAAAAAGGAGGGTCAGGGATGGTTGCATACACATTTTAAAAGTCCTTCTGGACTAGATAAGTTTTGTTGTCATTATCTGACCATGAGTCTTCCTTCACTGAATGCTCTATTTCCCAGTGAGCCTTCATCTAGTTTGGCTTTATAAGCATCAGTACTTATTGTCAGAAGCCTGATGCTGTGAGGCCTTTCATTACTATGTATTTTCAAATCAATGGGCAGGAATTCCTAGCACATAAAGAAAAAAGAGGTGGGGGATGGGGGGAAGTACCAGAACTTAAAATGCTGCTGACTCAGAAAAGCTCCTGTGACTTTCTCAAAAAGACTAAGACAGAGAAAAGGAAAAAATATATATACATTATTAAGGTTAATTACAAATCCATTCTAAACTATAAGCTCCTCCAGGCTCCTCAAACAAAGCCAGGCAGATATGAGAGAGAACTGTTGAAAGAATGAATCTGACTTGCAATTCCATGAGAAAACAGAGAAATTATGTAAGAGAGCATCAGTCAAATGTGAAAGAGGGTTCCTTACTGTTCCCTGCAAGCTTGGGTAGCCATGGTCCAGGTGCCTTTCTGCTTTGGGATCAAGGTGTGACAGTAGCCTGAGTGAAGGTGCCATCCAACTGGACAAGATTTATCTTCCACTTCCTGAAAAACAGTTGTCTATTTTTCTGTGTTCACACAACAAGGGACTTCACAGTCTAGAGTCTGCTCTCAACATAAGGAGTCGTATGAATCACTTGACTCCAATGTCATCACCACATTCACCCTAATTCCACTCGTCATACTGAAAAATGCAATGGCTTCGTACAGAAAACACTACCACTGTAAGCAAAGTTTCAGTGCTACACCTTGGACATTCTGGTAACTAAACAAAATAAGTAAACGTCTTTTAAAGTCATCCCTGTTTAATAATGTATTTTGTGATTAAAAAAACAAACAAACACTTAGGGGCATTATTCCTCTTGACCCTTTAGGTGTAATAAGGGCAGGCAGGAAAGCATGAGTTGGTAGTCACACACCAGGCCATTCTACTAGCCCATCACAGGGCACACTGCAGGTAAAGGTGCTTGTCAATTCAGCCTGTTTCCCACCTTGGTTTGGGGGCTCCAGGATTTCCAGGCAATCCCATTGCATCCATACAGCTTTTGGGTGCTTTCTTCAAAATGGAAGAGTCCCTTTAATTCCATTGTGCAATTCTTTGGAAATAAGGGCAACTGGTCCTACGGAAGAAAAGGCAATTTGGAATTGTCTTAATGTAAGTTGATAACACACTTACCTCCTTTGGATCTTCATTTGTTGGGTAGCTCTTTGTGTTGAGTAAACGATCTCCAAGCTTGGAGGCTATTTTGTGAATTAAGTGTGTTTGTTGCCCAGCAGTTTGTTATAAAGTCAATAGAAAGAAAAAAAGATTTCCCTACCTGTCTGGGGAAGTGAGAGTCAGTTGTGGATTCCACCTTATCTACTGCAGGCAGCTCTGCCACTTTCATTGTCTTTTGTGGCTGACTAATAATGGATACTTTGGCCTTCCTTTGGGGAGGTGGGGCACTGTCATCTTCCAGTTTCAAGGAAGCTATCCCATGATACTTGAGGAGAGCAAAAAGTAACAATAAAGAAAACGCTAAGATAGTAAACACAAAATTTTGTTATAAAAATGAATAATTCAAAAATTGTTTCCAAGTAAAAAGATTTTTTCCTACTATTCAATCTTCTAAAATAAATTTCAAAGTAAAAATTTTTAATAAATACATAAATATTTTGCATCTATAAATATAAGAAACTTAGCAATTCTCTGACTATGCTTACATTATAGATGATGTCTGTTCTGTTTCTATAAACAGAAGATGGATGAACCTGAAATCACAAAAGACAACATGAACAAAATTGGCTTGAATAATGATTAGCAATAGAGTAAAACCCTTCCAGTAAGATATTAATGTTCAAACATTTTAAAAGCCTGATAACTAAGTTTTTTTCATGCCCAATCATTGGAATTTTATTTAAAAATATTTTTAGTTGTAGATGGACACAATACCTTTATTTTATTTATTTATTTTTATGTGGTGCTGAGGATTGAACCCACTGCTTCACACGTGCTAGGCAAGTGCTCTACCACTAAGCTACAGCCCCAGCCCAGTCATTGGAATTTTAAAAGGTATTAGGTCTAAACCACAACTGATAATTGTGTTGATTCATGGATATATGTCCCAGTTAGGGAGAAAAGATAACTTTATTTTTTAACACATCTGTAGCACACAAAGAAGACACACATACACACTCTCAAGAGTGTGGCTAGTTAGAATGCTGTGCCCATAAGGTCAAAGTCATGGCTTCCGCAATCAAGTGTATCCCTTCATCTCTTTTTGTTTTAGGGTCCCTGGTTATTTTCTGTTTCCATCACAAAAGGAACCAAAGCAGAAATCATGATGAATTAATATATGGATGAATCAATGGATCTATCACCTCAATTAGAATAATTAACAAAATGAGGTGGTATTGTGACTTTTGCATATAAAAGGCACTGCATGACTCTGCAAGAAATCATGGTTCCCACTCACTCCGAGAATCCGTACAGCTTCTTCGGCGTTTCAGAATGCTTATTATTATTAGCATGTGTCACACACATCCACTCCCACAAGGTCCCCATCCTTACTGCTTTGCGATTCGTGTGGGTCCTAAGCTTCCTCTGAGAAAGAGCTGCGGAATCAAAGCCCTGTAGGGAGTCTCCCCTGGTGGTTGCCAGCTGCTTGGAAGATGGAGGGGGTCTTCTTTCCAGATGAAAGGAACCAGAAGTGGTGGGCGAGGGAGACCCTGGATGCAACGGGTGCCAAATGCCCTTCTCCCATGTGTTGGGCTTGCTTTGGTTGGAGGAGTATGAAGGATGGCATTGTCCTGGAGGCATGCAAGATGGCAGGCGGTCAGTACACTTTACACAAACAGATAAGCGATCACATTGACACAGCTCCTGGAGCAGCTTGTTATTAAACTTAGATGGATGGATTTCCCACCAGATGTTGCCTTTTTGCCATTTGCCAGAAACGCCTTTACTCTCCATCAGTTTCCACCCAGGAGAGCAGTGCCCTTCTGCACACCTATGGGGTGATTATGAAGTCGTGAAATTGATTTCACAAATCAGAAATGAAAATCTTTGTCATGGTTTTATGGTCATTCTGTACACTTGGGAAATAGTCTCATCCTGCTTCCTCCTACAGTTCTTCTCAACATTCCAGGCTTTATTCACTGATCAAGTATTTTTCCACAAGCAGAGTTCAGTTTTCCCCTGATCTCCTACAGGTAGAAACTGGAATTGCTGAAAGAGTCCTGTATTCAAGTAATAGTCATAAAAATTTGCATTCAACTATTACAAAACAAAAACTTAGTCAATCTTATCAGAGCTGCTTCTATAAGAAATCTTCCAATTAGTATTCCTGGGAAAATATGGGAAAAAAAATCTAAGACCAGAACCCTCACCTGGGTATTTTGCTTGTTTTGTTTATATTATATTTTGAAGTGCTGGGGTCAAACCCAGGCCCTCCCAAGCACTGTACCACTGAGCTACACCCCTAGCCCAAGGTATTTTCTATTTCATATAAAAATGTTTACTTCATATATGTTGTGTAGTTAATGTGACTAGGAAATTCTACTGGAAAATAAATTTGGTGAGGAGATAGGTGGAAGGGAGAGATGCTGAGAAAACATGGCTATTATTAGGAAAGAGGATAATGCCCATTTTAGTATGAGGAGAAAAGAAAAAGGAGACAGTAGATTCCAGGTTTAAAAAACAAAATACAGACCACAGAGCATGGCAGGTGTGAAAGCGGGGCATAGGATGGTGTCTAGTACTGGACACTTGTCAAATACTAAACAGACAAGACACTAGAAGGGATTTTGGAAGAAAAAAAAAATCAGAGCACCAAAAACATTTACTGCTCTTCGTTTTATTTGGTTCACAGGTTGTTCTTTAGCGTATACTACCCAGGACCTGCTTGGCTCTGTAACCCAAAGTTATTCATTAATATTCTCCAGCTGCTTCTGAATCCCCGAGCCAGCTGCATCTTCGCATCTATTTTGCTCCAATTCCTTCCCTTCTTAGAATTTTCCTGGTCACACTGCAGTGGGAGCTCGGGTTTGGGGCTTTGAGAGCTCTCTTTAACCGAGGAAGATAATTACAGCCCTTCAAACTCTGGGGGAAAATAATTGTCGATAGATTCTCACCAACATTGTTTCCCCCTCGGTGAGAACAACAAACGGTTAGGAAAAAAAACAACCGCGGTGCTGACTTGTTGCTTTTCTCAAGCGATAGTTCTTAGCAGGAGGAAAACCACATGAAGCAGAAACTAGCATAAAAGGCCTGCATCATGACGGAGACTGCTTTCTTGACAAGAAATTAAGCATTCTGATTTGAAGGTGTTATCAAGCATGTTGGCTGTTGAAAGCAAGCAGCCATGGCGCCAGGACCGCTCCTGATTTCAAGATGAGGATCAAAAGAATACCTCCTTTTGAGTCCAAAATTTTCACTGCAGCTTTTGTCTTCGTGCCAAGAACTGCATTCACAGGGGAGTTCAGAATTACTTCAAAGACCTCATCATCTTCCTCTAATCCGTCATAGGTAATTGCTATATTCCACATCTTAGTTGACATTCCTACAAGAAGTAAACATTTTAATTACTCTTTAATTGCTATTTCAATCACCTAGGTGTCAGAGAAATATATTAATTAACATGTCTACAGCTAGACTGCAGTAGCCTGAGTGAGCTATTGTGTTGCCACCAACTCGCTGAAGCCCTGCTGTTCTCCCCAGTACTATGAAAAGACCACATTTGTTCCTGGACAATGATGATTCGGTTTCAATGCAAACACTGTAACAAAAAAGTAAGCCGCATTATGCAAGTGATGAAAAAAAAAATGGCTAGTAGATGAGATCCAAGATGTAATTTCCCCCCCAAACTGTCCCTTCTCAAGAATAAACAAGTTCTATAATCTTAAACTCTTAATACTTTCAAAAATCTTAAGGTGTTGATGCAGACAGAAGTGATTATTGGATGGTACTTCATGCCATTCATGGAACTTTTGAAATGATGGATTTCTACAGACAGCTGCCCGCATCAGTTGCCCTACTTCCTGTGATCCTTCCAGCCCACAAATGCTTTTTCTGATGATGTAATACCCAGCAGTTTGATATCCTCCTAGAGAGAATTTACAAGCTGGGAATTCCAGAAACAGACTGAGGAGCCCACTTATTTCCCCTCTTCCTGTCCCTCTGTGTTCATGGAGTTATAGCTGAGCTTGTAACTTTGTAAACTTAACACAGACAGTTTTGATGTTACCAATATATCCCAGCCATCTTCTCACCCTGAGGATAGGAGGGAAAGCAAACCCAGAGACACAAAATATTAAGTTGGAAAAGCTTTAGAGATTGTCTAATCTGGACCAGTTTTCACTTTGTGGATTGCAGGACATCTTCCTGAGTTTATTTAGAAGAAAAAGTGGAGGCAGGAAGTAGAGAATGCTGTTTAGTGGAGAAAGTAGGCTCAAGCTTATGGTTTAACCTCATAGGGTTAAATTTGAAAAGCTCTCTCTGCCATGTACTCATTTGAATGCTTTTGCTCCCATAAATATTTCTGTATAAGGCAGTTAAACATTATCCTAGTCTTCTCTTCTAAAAGTACGACTCTTTTTTGCTTCAGATTGCCTTCTATGATTTATGCCTCTCAATTGTGTCATCTACATGACAGCCCCTTTCTTGAAAGTATGTTTTATGTAGATCTCATGACCTAATCAAAGTCTCATTAATCCTCAACAGAATCCAAGGAAAGATGAAACTGTTCACTTATCCTATTCTTGGCTGCACTTACAGGAAAAATTAGGTGTATTTGGAATAATTCTATTTTAAAAAATTAGACTTATAGATAATTTATTAAACTTTCAGTTATTGACTGTATTCTTAAATCAATTATATTCGCAGTCTTTACAAAAACAGAAGTTGGGGTGCACCTAATATAAAATACTATATAATTCCCATCTTGTGGATGGATGAATCAATCCACCAAAATATACATTTTTATACTTAAGTGCTTGCTTTTGCATTAGATGCTATGGAGAATACCAGAAGTATAACATAAGCCAAACTCTAACCTAAAGGAATTTAAAACTTCTCAGAAGACACAAGACAATTATGTCCATGAGCATCCACAAAGGATCAGCTCCAAGATCCTCCTCAGATACCAAAATGTGCAGCAAACACTCTAGTTACTTACATAAACTGGCATAGTACTTAGACATAGCCTATATATATCCTCTTGTATACTCTAAATCATCTCTAGATTGCTTATAATACCTAACACAACGTAAATTCCATGTAAATAGTCATTATACAGTATGGCTTAGGGAATCAAAACATAAAAGTCTGTGTATGTGCAGTACAGATGTAATGTTTTTCAATAATTTTTATCTGTGGTTGGTTAAATAGGTGGATGAAGAACCTGTACCAACACAGGACCAATTGTACCAGAAAAGTCAAATAACTAATCAAAGCTATGTATGTTTAGCTGCCAAAAGATACAGAATAGGTGGCATAGATTTATATATATGCCATCCACAGTTGGAAGGATTTGGAGGGAGGAAACAGGAAAACAACATCAACAATTGCAGAAAGTTAGTAAAGCTGAAGCCTTGATGAGGGAAGGGTGAAGAGATAACCGTCTGGAAGGCAGAGCTCACATGAGTGAACAAGAGGCCATAAAGCTGCAGAGATAGTCTGTAGCCAGGTGCAGAGAGCCCTGGACCCCAGGGGGCCAGATGCAAACTTTAAACAACAGGCAACAGACTTGTCTCACGCAGACAGTTGACATTCTGTGAGTGGATGGTTTAACAAAATGAACTTGAAAATGTTACCTGTGAAGGTTTGGGCATCAAAGCAGGTAGACAGAGAGGCTGAAATTTGGGAGACCACCCAAGGCAGCCATTGCAATAAAAATGGGCATGAAAAAGATCAGAGTTGGACAGTAAAAAAAGCATATGGATACTAAGATCTTTAGTATTCACAGAATTGTTTTGACCCTCAAGCCCCATAAAGTTAAGCATTATTTAAATAAAAATCCGGTAAAAAATATTTCCAAGTCTCAATCAATTGTCCTCTTATTTTAAGAATCATTTTGTAAAAATTATAGTATACCCACTCCTAGAAAAGAAACTCAAAAGTTTTTGTTGGGCTTTGTGGAGTAGAACCAGGTGGTTGGAGAAAGTCCATGCTGAGTTTCATTTAAGTGCTTCCGATTTGTTCGTCTGCATTTCAGCTTTGTCTCTGTGCCTACCAGGTGTGTGCATGGGACCTTCTTATTTAGGTTAATGAGATTGGAAGTAAACTTCATTGTTGTTGTTTCCCCTTCCTCTTCCACTGTCAAGGTGCAAAGAATTTGTTAAGTCTCTGATATACACCTGCATTTTCAGAAGGCTTGACCTGATCTCCTCCCAGTTTCCACAAAACAAAAGGTGCTGAAGAGGAGAGAGAAGGTGTCATTGTATACAGACACATCCCACTTTACTGAGTAGGAACTCCTGGATATTCCCCTCTCTATTAGAAAACATTTTTTCTTTCTCTTTCTTCCTTTCTTTCTTTCCTTCTTTCTTTTTTCTTTTCTTTTTTCAGTAAATGCCACATTATAGATTTGTTCCTTTGGGAAATATTTGACTCAGGAATGATGAAGTTTCAATTAAGAATGCAGCAAACCTGGGGCTGGGGATGTGGCTCAAGCGGTATTGTGCTTGCCTGGCATGCACGGGGCGCTAGGTTCGATCCTCAGCACCACATAAAAATAAAATAAAGATGTTGTGTCCACCGAAAACTAAAAAATAAATATTAAAAATTCTCTCCCTCTCTAAAAAAAAAAAGAATGTAGCAAACCTTTCAAGAACACACATTTTAAAGGAAAACAATCATTTTCTTAAGAGTATTTACACATCCACTCTAGATTAGTCACAATAGCTGAAATGCAAAGTGGTTAGAATTTTTCAACCTTACACTACCCCGCCATTCTTGATTGCCTGTGTCCTCTCCCCCTCATTCAAGGTACCTGTTATTTTTAGAAAAATAAATTGGTTTGCTCTGGGGACAAGGGCTTGAAACATCAGACCCGAAAGAGTCAAGGATTAACAACACAGGATCACATCACTGGACGGACTGGTGGACATGGGGAGTTTCATGACTATTTCTGATTTCATAAATTCCCAAAAAAACAAACAGCCAAGCATGTGGTTTTTTTTTTTTAAATTTATAAGATATGTTTATGTTGTTTTTAAATTTTTAAATAATTTCTAAAATCATAAGACTATTCAGAGCCCCCAGAAGTCATTACTGTCTAATCAAAACAGCATGTGAACTCTTCTAGACAAATAGGTATTTATCTTATCCAATGAAATCTCTAAGAGGTAAATTTCAGAGCTGCCCTAGTGTGATACGTTCTAGTTCCTATCAATCCAAACAGAGCACCTGGTGGGCTGCTCAAAACTAATGGAAGCCAAAATCACTCCTGATCTTGTAACAACCAGACATCAATAATAAACAGGGCATATGGCAAAGACTCTTGACTCTCAAGGCTGAAAGTGCCCTCGTATGAAGGATAAAAGGGAGAATGCAGCTGGGCACAGGGCCCTGTAATCCCAGTGGTTTAGGAGGCTGAGACAGGAGGATCACAAGTTCAAGGCCAGCCTCAGCAATTTAGCAAGTCCCTAAACAACTTGATGAAACTCTGTCTCAAAATAAAAAATTAAAGGGCTGCGGACATACCTCAGTCGATAAGTGCCCCAGGTAAAATCCCTGGTACTACTACTACTAATAATAATAATGTGGGAGATGAGGAGGCACCGAATACAAATGCATTAAACCTTTTCATATTATAGTTGCCTAGGACAGAAGAGCCTACAGAAACCTAGGGGCAAACCCCAAACACATAACAAGAGTAGAGCTTCCTGACCTCCTAGGTCAGAAAGCTAAATATACAGGAAGGAGGAAAATAATAACACTTGGGTTCCTGCCTGTCAATTGAAGGCTCCTGTGTCATGCTGAATTGTGTCCCTCAAAAATGTATATGCCAAAATCCTCACACCCAACACCTCAGAATGTGACCTCATTTGGAAATAGGGTCATGGCAGGTGAAATTAGTTAATATGAGGCCATACTAGCATAGAGTGGGTCCTTAACCCATTATGACTTATGACCTTATAAAAAAGGGAAATTTTGTTCACAGATATGCACACAGAGAACACCATGTGAAGATAAAGACAGAGACTGAGGTGATACAGCAGAAACCAAGGAACACCAAAGACTGTCAGGAAACTGAAGAATGAAAAGACAGGCAAAGATATCTTCTCCCTCCCAGCCCTCAGAAGAAATCATCTCTGCCAACATCTTGATCTTGGACTCGTAGTCTCCAAAACTGTAAAACCATAAACATGTATTTTCTCAGCTACCCTGTTTGTGATACTTTGTTACAGGCAGCCCTGGGAAACCAGCACAATTTTCAAATGCCATACTATTTAGGATGACCTGCAGAGTGGCTTTCCCTCATTGTATAATGATGGTCAGTTTGGGGGCACTGATGGTATTTAGGCCATTTTCTTTTGCCTTTGCATAAAACTTTATGTGTTAGTGGTGGACAATGTCAAGCGTTTGGACTAGGTCAACTCTTCTCTCAGAGTGCAGGACAACTCCTCTGTAGAAAAGCACAACACTTTCCTGAAGCCTTTCCCTTGGAAACTGACCCAAGTCCATTTCCATAAGGGAAGAGAAAACCATGCAGAGCAGTGAGGTAGACCTCCTGGCCCCGTCCACAGAAGCCAGGGGGAAAGGATGCTGCCCAACCTTGGTGTGTGGGTGCCCAAACGTGTGTGGGTTCTTTTGTGGTCATTCTTCAACTTGGCATTTCCTCATCTACCTGCTAGAATGCTGCCTCCCCTGAGAAGTCTCCCAGGGTTTTCTTTAGTCAGAACAATGGTTCACCCTTTGAATCTCAATGAACTATTACTGTTTTCAAGTTTATGTATCATACAATATAACATTCTTGAGACCTGAGATAGGCTTTTTTCCAACACTGGAAACGGAACTCAGGCCCTTGCACATGCCAGGCAAGCACTCTACCACTGAGCTATATCACCAGCCCCACACCACACTTTTTTACTATCTTTTGCACCTAGCAAAATTTAAAACAAAGCCACTGCTATTTAGTTAAATAATAATTTCCCCTGGAATATCTCAGATCAAACTATTTCTAAAGGGATAATTTAGGAATCCATGCAAATACAACATTCTAAAAATTTTCATCACAATATGAGCCAGTTAGATTATTATAGCTTTGTCCCAGGATTTTAAATGATTTTTTTCTGGATGGTTTTGGATGTTTATTTGATATTTGATATTTGTTATGCTCTTTCTTCTCATTTTAAATACATATTAACTTGCAATAAAAAAATATAGGAGGTTAGAATATCAGGCCCAAACTCCTCTTGTCTGGAGTGGGGTGATCTGGCTCCCTAAGGGGCTTCTGATTGGTTGAAGTTGATGATATCCTGTCTTCTCCACCATCTGCAGACTTGCTCACCAAAACATGAAACAAGCTGTAGATACAAAACCTACCTGGGTCAAACTGAATCAGTTTGGATGGAGTCACTGTGAAATCTTTTCCAGCTGCAGCTGACACTTGATTGACCTTAAGAGAAAAAAAATGTCTTTTTAAAATAAAAATAAATATGCTATAATAGAGAAACATTTATTCTTCTCAATACTAAATGAAACTCATGCTCCTAAATCTGCTTTTAATAATAAATAGCATTTTTTTTTAAATTCTAATAAACCATTTTAGAGGCTATAAGGATCTTTCTTAGATTTAACTTTTTGTTTTTCCAATGATTCAATCATTGGGAAAGCAGAATAGATTTTAAAACTTCATTTTTCTCTTTGTTATGAGCACAGTTTTATTTGATGACCTTCCCTCTACCCCAGCTTGGTTTTAAAATAGAACCTCAATGGAGAGGGAGGGAGAGAAGTGAGAAGAGAGTATACACTCCCAACAACCTGTGTGATGCCCTGGCAGTCTCTGTAAAGGATCTGCAGGCTCCAAGGCTCTGAAAACCTTTAGACCAGATTAACTTGAACAAGTCTGCTCCATTTTCCTGTCTGGATGAAGCTATTGCTCTTCACAGACATGAATGAGAGCTTTGTGGGATGGACAGGCCTGGCAGAGAGCTGTGTAAAGGCAATCCACACCCAGACCCCATGGCTTTACAGGACTCCAACCAATAAGTCATAAAAAGAAAAACTGCCCTAAACAGACTGTTGACTGTGTCCCTGCTTCACCAACTCCAGTATGAGAAACTAAGCAGTTGATTTTAGGACTCTGAAGTCTTGGGCTTAAATTCCCCCCAGAGGGTGCCTAAATATGTGTGAAGAGTTGTCATGGGCTGATTTGAAAAAGAACTTGTATAAGCATAGGAGGTGTTTGTTATTTCTGTGGATTTTTGAGATGTTGAAGATGGTTAAGAAAGTGGATTAATATATTTTCATGTCTTTTTCACAAAGGAATGAAGTGAGTGCATAATTTAAAACTTTAAAATTCCTATCTGTATGACCTCAGACAGTGTCTCTATTTCAAATCAAAGGCCACCATGTTAATATATGCTCTCCACATATTAATGGGTCTGCAGTAGAAATATTTTGCTGAGGAAGAGTAGCACCTCCTAGACTTCCATTTGCTCTTTGTCCACAATGCCAAGGCTCCCCCTGGACCTCCTTTCATTAGGAAAAGGCAGCCCATTGTACACCTGTATCCGCCATATGCTGGAAGTGATATTTCCCTGCATGGTTCTTGCATGTGCAATTACCTAGTATTTACCACCACTGAGTTTACAGAATCCTGAGAGAAGCAGTGGTCTGAGGCAAGGTGTTTAGAGAAATGAGCCAGGTGATTCAAGTGAGGGAAAACAGCATGGGGTAAAAGTACCTCCTCTTTCTCTATTCCTGGTCATGTGACCAACAAGCTTTTGTGTAAGGTGGCAGGTTGCTCTCTGAATGAAGTAGTCCCTGAAGACTCAAGGACCATGTTTGATGGAGGCCTGCACACTCAGCTGGCAGGATCCTGGTGCTCATTCACTTAAGTACACATAAGATCCTCTGTAGGTTCTTTCTACCTGGCAAGGTGAGTGGCAGTGTGGCCCAAAACTCCAGACTAGAGAATATGGTATTTTCTATGGAGGACCAGGGGATTATTAGAAAGCCATCCAGGTACCTTCTTTCCTTTGCCTTAAGTCACCTCCTGGAAAATTACAGGGCACATCAAGTGTTCCACTGGTTTAATAGCAATAAGCTACCAACATACCTTGAAGAGAAAGCACCTGTGTTCACTGGAAAGATAACACTGAGTCTGGACATAGGCAGATTGAGGTGCACCCTGTCCTAAGGTTATCTGCCTTTGCTATTATAATTGAGATTCAACTGATGCCCTTTTTCCCCCAGGGGATGGTATCAGTGCTTTTTCCATCAGACTGAGGAGTCTTCCCATCAATGCTGTGTACTTTCTTTTCATGCTCACCTTATCTTGATGGGCTATTGCTACGATGACTCCTAAAAACCTTTCAATTCTAGAAACCAGAGGCTGTGCTCTATGTTGATGTCAATGGAAAGAAATAGCAGGTTGATAAATCCAAAAGCTATTACCTGAAAATTCTTCATATTTGGGAGCACCCATATTAATATATGCTCTCCTAATTTTTCATGATTGAATGGCCCTTAAGATGGGCTTAAGTTTCCTGTTTGACTCACCCACTGTGACCATGGAAAGCAATCCTGTCGAATCCTGGGAGATGGCCATTAGGGGACTGTACTTTGCTCTGGGCACACCACAGAATGCATTCTCTATGACTTTTCCTTTCAAACCAGAATTGAGCCCAGTTTCACTAAGTTCAATGCAACCCACTGTGAAATCAAACTTTAAAACTTGAAGAGTATATAGAAAATAATGATCAGATTTCAGAAGTAAACGTGTTTGGAAAAACTCTATCCAGTAGTTGAAATGTAGCTCAGTGGTACAGTGTTTGCCCAGTATGTGTGTAGTCCCAGGTTCAAACCCTTGCACCACAAAATGAACACTTCTATCTAGGAGCTGGTGAACCTAGATGAAGGTGGGGAGACAAGGAAAAATTGTACTTAGAATATATAGAATAGTGTTGCACCCTGCAGGGGAAATTTTCTCGGGAACTCTAAATTTTGCTAAGAAAATCATCAAAGGCACCAACTAATAACTTAAGTTTTAACTTTGACAATGTGCATTTCAATGTTGTTACCTTTACTCCCACAAAGGCTGAGTCCATGGAATATCCCCTTCTGGTAACTTCTAAGGACAATATGCCCACATTCTCACAGACCTCATATTCAGTTTGTGACCATTCAATATGAGACCACTTCAACTCCAAACTGTACATGAAAGGAAAAAAAAAAGAGAGAGAGAGAGACAGATCATAAGATATATATAATTAACATCTGTTGAAATTCTCTTCTGACAAGTAACTGAGCCACTGGTTCCGCTTAGAGTGGCAAACATGGTTGATCAATCTATGCCAGTAACAGAAATTCTTTACACATATTTGGTACATTTTAGTTCACGATGAACTTTTACTAATATTATCTTATTCCATCCTTACAGTGATTTTGTAAGCTAGACAGAACAAGTTTTAGAAACTTGTTTTTAAAATAAAGAAACTAAGGTTAAAACACTGCCAAAGTTCCCACTGATACTAATAACACAAAAAGGGACCATCAGTGGTCAAGTTCAAGGAAATACTTATTTTTGGAAAACACACTGATGTGAAATCTCTTATCTTTTGACCTTCCTCATTGGTACAAGATCGGTTTCAGACACAGATCTTTTCTGAACTTGGGTTCAGGTTAATAATGAGTTATCCTTCAGGATATGCCCAGCAATTAAAATGTTCACGAGTTTTGTTACTTTTTTTGTACATATGAAAGTATGTAGGGCTGGGAGGATAGCTCAGTGGTAGAGCACTTGTCTAGCATGTGCAAAGCCGTGGGTTCACCCTGAGCACTGAAACACACAAACAGACAAACAAAAGATAAAAGAACTGTAATAGAATGTGGCTTGGTGACAACTGTAGTCATCTCTCAATGTGGAATATTGGTTCCAGGACCCTCACCCTCAGCCCATAGACAACAAAATCTGCAAGCACCTAACTCCCTATGTAAATGGTGTAGTATTTGCATATAATTTTGCCCATCCTCCTGTATTCTTTAAATCATCTCTTGATTATTTATAAAACCTAATATCATGTAAACATCATGTAAATAGTTGTTAAGTCTATTGTTTAGGAAATAAAGAAAAAACACTGTACATGTTCAGTACAGATGCAAATATTTTTTTCTGAATATTTTTGACAAGTGGTTGGTTTAACCCATGAAACTGGTGGGATATGAAGGATCTTCTTCAGGCAATTGAATGAATCTGATAAATAGAAGGTGGTCTTTTTTTTTTCTACAATATATTTAATGAATCTAACATTTGATGGTTATTATCTTCACTGATCCTTATCAGCTAGAGAGGAACCTTTCTCTCCCACCCCACCCCCCCAAAATAACCCACAAAAAAAAAACAAACCTCAGAAAAGATTAGATAACTAGCTCAAAGACCAAAAGCTATGACAAAGCAAATAGGTAGCAGAATAATATTCAAGCATAAATTTGATGCTAAATCTTCTATGTCTCCTCTACCATTTCCTTCTAATTGAAATGTTTGAGCTCAAGCAAAGCAACACGATTTTATTATTACCTTGCAATATTTCCCTTTTTTGGCATGGGAGTACTTGAATGTTTTACTTACACATTTCTCACTAACCTTGTCCTGGCATTTTTTACTCCCTTTATTTTTATACAACAATACACAGGACATGAGCAATCTTCACATTACCCGTTGTTTTATTTGTTCCTCTTTTATTCTGGAGTTACAAAACCTTTGTGGTCACTTCTTACTGCACTTCCCAAACTTCCAATCAGATTTGAACTTTCAAGTTTAAATTTATTTTTCACAATAGCTTTTTTTCAGAACTAGAAATTCTGGGTGCTACCATGTAGAATATGAGTTCACACATTTCACGGTCTCCCAGGCTTTCCTAGGGCCCACCGACATCAGGGTGTGTCACAATCACATCCTGCAAATAAAATTCACTAGCAATGGGAGGAATAGATGAATTGTAAATAGGGAAGAGGGGTGGGAGGGAAAGGAAGGGGCCAGGGGATTAGCAAGGATGGTGGAATGTGATGGACATCATTATCCAAAGTACATGTATGAAGACACGAACTGGGTGTCAACATACTTTATATACAAACAGAGATACAAAAATTGTGGTATATATGTATATTAAGAATTGTAATGCAAAAAAAAAGTACATGTATAAAGGCAAAAAAAAAAAGAGAATAGCAGATTAGGTAGAGGGAAGTAAAAGGAGGGGAAGGCAGGGGATGTGGGTATAAGAAAGATAGTAGAATGAAACAGACATTATTACTCTATGTATATATGTGACTATATGACCAATATGATTATACAATATGAATACTCATAAAAGTGAGAAATTATATCCCATCTATGTATGATATATCAAAGTATATAAGTGCATTCTACTGTTATGTATAACTAATTAAAACAAATAAAAAATTTAGAAAAAGAAAGAAATTCACTAGCAAAAGGAACTCAGTAACACTGGTTCATATCTGAGGATCATGAGCCTCAGGGAAGAGTACTGTTGGAACAAGGGATTATTATAGGAGGTTCATGCATCTATGTAAACATATATGTTTATTCAGTCCATAGATAAAGAAACATAGTTCCTGCATGCTAGACTTCATAAAATCCTTGACACAAAAACAAGATTTAAAAAAATGTATAATTTTTAATCTTATAAATTAATTTTATTCACAGAATTATCACCGTGTTAATCTTTTTTTTGGGGGGGGGGTACCAGGAATTGAACCCAGGGGCATTCAACCACAGAGCCACATCCCCAGCCCTATTTTGTATTTTATTTAGAGACAGGGTCTCACTGAGTTGCTTAGCACCTCACTTTTGCTGAGGCTGGCTTTGAACTAGTGATCCTCCTGTCTCAGCCTCCTGAGCCACTGGGATTACAGGTGTGTGCCACCATGCCCAGTACCATGTTAATCTTAATGTGATTTTGCCCTGGAAAAAATACACTGACCAAAAACAATGAAAGCTTTTGTATTATTGTACAAAGACTCTGAGAGAGACTGTACTAATGATTAGTGAAGTCTTGGAAAATTTCAAAATGAGATGGTAAACAGAAATCTATGAAATTTATCATACATAATTTGGTTTTCACTAAAGAAATGCAAATTTCTCTCTGCAATCCAAACATTAAATATATTCATATTTATTACATATAGTTTTATATGGAAAACAAGATCTTTATATTGAAAACCTCATTGATATTTGATGCGACTGAATTTAAACGAATCATATCAAACATGAATCAGATCAAGAAGTATAGAAATAAATAGGTATGAAGAATTACAAGATATCAAGCAATAAAGACAGCACAAATGCTAAGAGAAATATGTTGCAAAAAAAAAACTCCTAAAGGACCCCAGTAAATGAGAAAGAAAGAATGTCAGCAAGAGGAATTAGGGGAGAAGACAGGAAGAAGAAATAAGAAGGAAAGGAAGGTGGTGGGGAAAAATGAAACAGATAAATTTGGATGGATTTAAGCTAAGTCTTGGTAAGGTTCAAGTGAATTTCAATGTCTGGTTCAGAGAATCCATCCGTTGCTGATTCTCACCAGGACACACACAAATCCATCAATGCCATTCTGCAGATCCAAGAGACCTCAAAGTCTGAAACTAAGTGCAATCTGATTGCTGATCTAGATCCAGAAGGGAATAATTCAGAGTACTGTTTGGTTTCACAGTACAAAGGTCTCAGTGTTTGGGAATGCACGTAGATTTCCCTGATGCACCATCAGAGCATTGCATAATGCTTATAGGTTAAGGTTGTCATTACACAGCGTTCTATTTTATTTTCTTAAAACCATTCACTACAAATAATAAAGCTCTATTGAAAAGCCATGAAATTTAAGCCAGGCTATATATTTTCCAGAAAAAAAAATATTTAAATAGCAAAGCCCTCGCTAACCTACAGGATATGTGCAACACATGTTTTGAATGCAATTTTTTTTTTTTTTGCAATACCGTATATGAGATCTTTCTATGTTGAGACTGTGATTGCTTAAACTCTAAATAAACACTTGAAAGAAAAATAAGAGATATAGACAATCATTTGGGAATTCTCCCTGCAAGAAGTCAAAAAATTATGTTTAGCATCAGATAAATATCCAGATGCAGGAGTCCAGGAGAGCAATCTGGAAAGTTCTGGAGTTTGTAGGCATCATGTGCATAAGGGTTGGTTCATGTCTTTACATTTTAATGATCCCTTCATTCTCCCATTAACGTTGAGTAAAGCTCATTCTAAGGTCAGAAATAAAGGTAACCAACACACTGTATGTGAAACCACATGGCAATCATTTCAAATCATTTAGCAGGAGGTGAAAACTCCTCTCACCCTCAGCACTACTGACATTTTTGACCAGATAATTACTTGCGGGAAGTTGTCCTATGTATTTGAAGATGTCTGATAGCATCCCTGATCACTACACATTAGACACAGTAGCACTTCCCCAGAGTCACAACCACCAACACTATTTTCAGACATTGCCCAAAATCCCTTGGGAGGAAAGTCACCCCCAGTTGAGAATTATCTCCACAAGTAGTTCTGGGCTACTCATCACAATAGAAAAGCTGGTTCAAAGTAAAAGCTAAATTTTGGCCCCCAACAACCACTTTTGGAAATGGAAGACATAGCATGGAGGAGTTGAGTTAAAATTGGGTTAAAGTTTATGAGATTTTTGGATCCCTTTGCGACTCATTAACACTAAGCAATCAGGTATAAGAAAAGCTGTTTGGACACCCAATTTAACATTTTCACTTATTTGCCAAAGCCTTTGATCCCCTTTATCTTGGCCATCATTTTTTTTGGTTGTCATTGTATTTTATTTATTTTTTGGTACAGAGATTGAACCCAGGGGTGCTTAACCACTGAGCCACATCCCCATTCCCCTCAACTTTTTTTTTTTAATTTTGACACAAGGCCTTCCTAAGTTGCTGGCTTAGAGCCTCACTTAGATGCTGAGGCTGGCCTTGAACTTGGGATCTTCCTCTTCAGCTTCTTGAGCTGCTAAGATTACAGGTGTGTGCTATCACATTGACCAACGTTTTCATCTTCCAAAATACACATCATATATAACCTGCAATCTAGTTTACTTAGATACTATGTGTACTCTACAGAAACACAGGTCTTTGGTTCACTGATGCATTCCAAGTCTCTTGCAGAGTGTGTA